CCACCTCCGGCCCCTACACCCCCTCCCTATCTCTGTCACCCCCTCCCCTCCCCTTCCCTGACTTTGCCACCTCCGAGGATGTTCCACCGTTGGGAACCTGAGGTTGGGAATTGTCTCCCTGAAGCGCACCCCACCTCCGACTTTGGGAAATGGCCTGGCTTGTCCTCAGGCAGATGCCTGGATGTGGTCTCTGCCGTGTGTTGGCCTTGCCCCCCTCGGCATCGGCAGCTCGGGACGGTGAAGTGTATATATCGATGCCCGACATTGGCGTGACCCGGTCTCCTTTCTCCTCTCGCAGCCTGATGTACAGCCATCGGCCGCGCTCCTGGCGAGAGCTCCCGCTGCGGCTGGCCGACTTTGGTGTGCTGCACAGGAACGAGTTCTCCGGTGCCCTGTCAGGCCTGGTGCGAGTGCGACGCTTCCAGCAGGATGATGCCCACATCTTCTGTACCCCCGAGCAGGTCAGGGGCTGGGGGAGGCGGTGGCGGCGGTGAGGGGCAGACTGCCTTCGGAGCCCAGTGATCGGGGAATAGGGGGACAGGGCGGGAGAGAGCTCTGTGTGTGTGTGTGTGTGTGTGTGTGTGTGTGCGCGCGCGCTCACATTCAGCTCCTTGAGACTGTCCTCCCTTCCACAATCTGCAAACACAGAACATTGCATTTTGTTAGGACATGACTTATACACTTAATGGTAAGGTCCTGGGGAGTGTTGCTGAACACAGGGACCTTGGGGAGCAGGTACATAGTTCCTTGGAAGTGGAGTCGCAGGTAGACAGGGCGGTGAAGGTGGTGTTCGGTACACTTGCCTGTATTGGTCAGTGCTTTGAGTAGAGGAGTTGGGAGGGTCATGTTGTGGCTGTATTGGTGAGGCCACTTTTGGAATACTGCGTTCAATTCTGGTCTCTCTGCTACAGCAACAACGTTGTGAAACTTGAAAAGGGTTCAGAAAAGATTTACAAGGATGTTGGAGGGTTTGAGCTACAGGGAGAGGCTGGGGCTATTTTCCCCGGAGCGTCGGAGGCTGAAGGGGTGACCTTATAAAGGTTTATAAAATCATGAGGGGCATGGATAGGGTGAATAGCCAAGGTTTTTTCCCCAGGGTAGGGGGGAGTCCGAAACTAGAGGGGCATAGGTTTAAGGTGATAGGGGTAAGATTTAAAAGGGACCTTTTTCACACAGAGGGTGGTGCGTGTGGAACGAGCCACCAGGGGAAATGGTGGAGGCTGGTACAATTACAACATTTAAAAGGCATCTGGGTGGGTACATGGATAGGAAGGGTATAGAGGGATATGGGCCAAATGCTGGCAAATGGGACTAGAATAGTTTAGGATATCTGGGTCAGCATGGACAAGTTGGGACGAAGGGTCTGTTTCCGTGCTGAATATCTCTATGACGCTGCATTTCTGATGTTTGTTAAAGGAATTTAAAGGCATGAAATGTTGTATACCTTCCCCGCTCTGTTCACACGGAGTAACTGTTTATTTCACAGATTGGGGAAGAAATCGAAAGCTGCCTGGACTTCCTCAAGGCCGTGTACCAGGTGCTTGGCTTCAGCTTCCGGCTGTACCTCTCCACGCGGCCGGAGAATTTCATGGGAGACGTTGCAATCTGGGACCTGGCGGAAAAGGTAGAGGGAGACAGACGAGAAACTTCCCATTCTCCCCAGGGCACCGGGAGAGGGTGCTTGTTGTCCCAGGGATCGGTGCCC